CCCCAAAACCCCAAAACCCCAAAACCCCGATAATTAGAAAGGATAATTTATGAAAATTAAGAAATAAAGTCTTAAAATATATTATCATAGTTGAGCCTATTACTTATTATCATTTATTTACAATACTCTTTTTTAAAACTGTTGGTAGCATAAAATTCTTGGGATGATACTCTGAAGTCTTTGGTGATGCTGCTTACCCTCCAATGCTACCAGTATTTACATTTAGATGATTACCCTTTGGACTATGTTTTTTGTTTGGAATATGTAGATTCGTCATACTTGTGTTGATAGATTTATTCTTATTAAATTCAGCTGTTCCACTTATCATACTATTTTTAATGCTAAAATCATATATTCCCGAACTCCCATTTTTATTCAATTGAGGTTTTTCTTATTCAGGATTTTCTTGAAAAATAGTTGGGAGATAATTAAACTATGGCGATAATAACTGATATTTATTGATTTTTTCTTAAGTATTAAGAGGTGGAAGGACCATGTCTGAAAATCTTACATTTTGCTTGTTAGAATTTTTTGAGCTTTTTAACCCGCGTGTTATTACATTTTCTAAGTTTTATTTTGACTCCTGAATTGATACCTTATTATCAAGATCTTTAATCAATTTTTTAACAAATGTTTAATTGTCTAGCTTTTATAAGCTTCTCTAGTGTTCAAGCCTTAAGTTTGCCATCTATTGATTGTCCTCAGTCATTGAGTCATTATGTGATCATCTGTTCAGATCATCTTAGCTATCATCTCTGATGTGAGATATTTTATTGATAACATTTTTTTAGCGATAACCCTGTTACTCATTAATAGGTGTTTCAATCAACATTTCTTAGCTAATAATTTAGTTTTTAAGAGCGAAAATTTTGCGTTTTTCAGGTGAGAAAATTTATTTATAGTGCTTGAGGGATTTTAAATTAGGAGTCCCACTCATAGTATCAATCATTTAATTCCTCTCAAGCATGATCTATTTCTAATCTCTGACAGGGGATATTTCTTGCTTAGAGGAAAATCTATTTATTTGCTTTTTTAGAGATCTTTCCAAAAGAATATGCTCTGCAGTTATCTGGTTTAGCTATTATTACTTTGCCAAGGCATTTCTCATTTATAAGGAATCATTTAATTTTTAGTGACTTAAAGATTGCTTCATCTTGCTTGGAATGAATGCATCCTTCATTAGCATTAGGTCTTAGACAGTTACTCTCTATTACTTTTTTATCTGTGTAACTGGTGTAGTTCTTCCTTCATGAAAAGGTGTACCTTCAAGAGCATGCATGTAAACACTTTCAAAATTTATAAGTTTAGGCTTTGGTAGCATTAACTATATCTAATTGCTATCATCTTCCGTTTACTAATTGGATTGACCATTTTCATCTGAGAATCGACTCATACTCTATTTGTCTATTGAGTTCCGATTAAAAAAGCGCTATTAATTTTTAAGTGCTATTCTTTGCTAATTATATAATTATCTGTTCTCTAAGTAGACTAAGAGTTCTTTTGTGCTATTCTTCTTAGAAGTCATCTTTAATTGTTGTTAGGTCTCTGCATCAATCTCTGGGTCTAAACTTATATTAAGCTTATTGGGAGTCTCAAACTCTTATCGCTTTTTATTTTATTTGTATGTTTTTTCTTGTTTGTTCCTTGAATATTATTTAATTTAATTAGCTGCATCTGTGTTTTTTTAAATCTGATTCTCAAGGTCTTCTTAGGCCAAGGCTCTATTTAGCATTTCAATTTGATCCATTTCATTTTGATCTAGCAATTTCAAATCTTTTTTTACAATCAATCCACTCTATTAATGGATCTCAGTTATCTAGCTTAGTTATGATTCATTGTTAAATCTTAAAGGGATATTTCCATAATTTTAAAGTTCGCTTATGTGCAACTATCCCTTTATTATTTCTTAACCACCAGAAAGCACACTATCGACAATACTTTCATTTCTCCAACCTGTCAAACTATCCTTCATTTTTATCTAAAAAGGACTTAAATCCTTCTCAGAGAAATCAGCATTTAGCAAGACTCGTTCTGTCGATTTCAAAGGTATCCTTAAGTTTATTTTTTATTTTTTCATTTTAGTTAACAAATTAGCTAAATTCTATAATACTGCATTATTGAATAGCTTGGGGTTTTGGGGTTTTGGGGTTTTGGGG